CACTGAGCTATGGGTACCGCCCCCTCCTACAACAACTTTTTATAATAAGATTTATTAAGGAGTAATTTACACACAATCCTGTAACACGTAGCCATTTGGGGGGCTAGAGTATGTTACATTCTGACAGACACACACCCATCTACATGAATACATACCTGAGTAACCACCACAGTCAAGAAATGGAACTTTTTTTTCACCCAGAATGGGTTCATTGTGTCTTGCAAGTCATCCTCTTCCTTTACCCTAGTGATCATTGATCTGCTTTCTGTCACTACAGATTAGATTTGCCTTTCCTCTGGTTTCATATAAATGGAGCTATGCGTTACTCTCTGTCTAGCTTCTTTGCTCAGCATGTTTGCAAGATTCATGTATGTTGTGTATCAGTATTCTATTCCTTTTTATTACGTAGTTTTATGTAGTCTTTTTATGGACATATTTTTCCCTTTTCTTGGATAAGGAGAGGAATTGATGTGTCATTATGGTAAGTGTATCTTTAGCTCTATAGGAAGCTACCAAACTGTTTTCTGAAGTGGCAAATGCTGTCTCACCAGCAATGTGTGAAATTTCTATTTTCTGCATACCCTCATATTACTCTCTGGCTCTTTATAGAAAATTCTGATTGACCTCTGGGTTAGACCTCTCTCCTATTAAGGTTTTAATTTGCATTTTCCTGATGACTGATGGTTTTCACATCTTTAAATGTGCTTATAGGCACTTGTATATTTCTTTTTTGAGTTGTGTGTTCAAATCTTTTTTTTATACAGAATATTCAAATCTTTTCTTTATTTTTTATTTCATCATGTTCTACTTACTGTTTTTTGTATTTTCTCTTTCTCAGATGAACTTGCCTGTTTTTTTCCTATTCATCCTTATCATATTTCCTTTATTTCATTAAGTACAGTTACAATAGCTATTTTAAAGTCTATATCTGATAACATCTAGTTCATTTTGGGATTGATATCAATTAAAACTGTCTTATTCCTTGAGATGAGATCACATTTTTTTGTCTCTTGGTTCAGTAATTTTGTGTATACTGGACATTGCGAATATATGTTTTGGAGACTGGATTATTTTATATTGATTTAAAGGATGTTGATATTTGTGTATTAGTAGGCAGTTACAGACTCATACCAAACTGTCATGCCTATGGTGGACAGTGGCTCAGCTGTCAATTCACTTCCTCTAAGTCTTAGCTTTAAACTACATTCAGTTTACTCTGTTGATGCATGGTGAGAGATCAGCTGTAGATTTAGATTGTTTGAACACAGAATATAGGAATTCCCTTCTCTGTCTTTTTCCAGAGTTCTTCTCCACTTTCTTCTAACCTCTCAATTCTCTCGTTATTTTGGGCTGCTTTTCCTGGTTCTTGTTTCACTGAGTAGAAATATATCATTCTTTTTATTGGAGTTATAGCTAGTTCTATGCCTTTGTGGCTACCTTCAGCCAAAGCTACAAAAATTGAGAACTCAATCTTTGTGGATCACTTACCACTTCTAGTTTGATTCTCCTCTAAAGTGTGTCTGTATTTCAGTCTCTGGAACCCTCAGGTAGTAGTTTTTTGTGTTTTTTCCAAAGAACGTATAGCTGTTCTTTTTTTTTTTTTTTTTTTTTTTTTTTTTTGCAGTTTTTCACCGGGGCTGGGTTTGAACCTGCCATCTCCAGTTATGGGGCCAGCATCCTACTCCTTGAGCCATAGGCACTGCCCAGAACCTATAGCTGTTCTTTGAGGAGGATTGAGGCTTTCACTCTTACATTTTTTGGTCCATTTTTTGATTAGATTTTGGTTTTCATTTTTGAGTTGTGAGTGTGCTATATTTGGAATCAAAGTATTTTGTCAAAGTATCATGAATAATTTCTTCTAGTCTGTGCCTTGCCTATCCATTTTGTGAATTTTTTTGAAGCAGAGATACTTTAATTTTGATGAAGTCTTAATTTATCCTTTTTTTTTCTTTAATGCTTTGTGCTTTTGATATCTAAGAAATCTTTTCCTACCTCAGGATTTCACAGAGATTTTCTTTTCTATTTTTTAGAGACAGAGTCTCACTAGTTGCCCTCAGTAGAGTGGCTGTGGCATCACAGCTCACAGCAACCTGAAACTCTTGGGCTTAAGCGATTCTCTTGCCTCCCTAGTAGCGGGGACTACAGGCCCCTGCCACAATACCCGGCTATTTTTTGTTGTAGTTGTCATTGTTGTTTAGCTGGCCCAGGCTGGGTTTGAAGCCACCAGCCCCCGTGTATGTGGCTGGCGCTGTAACCACTGTGCTATGGGCGCTGAGCCACATAGAGATTTTCGTGTTATATGTTAAAAGTTTTAAAATTGGGCAGCGCCTGTGGCTCAAAGGGTTCTGGCTCCATATGCTGGAGGTGGCAGGTTCAAACCCAGCCCCAGTCAAAAAAAAAAAAAAAGAAGTTTTAAAATTTAGGTCTATGTAGTGCATTTGGAGTTAATTTTTGTGTGTAGGGTAAAGGTTAGATTCAAATAATATTTTTTTTGTCATATACATATCTAGCTATTAAAAGTCTACCCTATCTTTAGTCTGGCACCTTTATCAGAATCCATTGGCCATGTATGTGGAATTTAAATTTTGAACTCTTCATTTTGTTCCATTAATCTGTATGTCTGTCGTTATACCAATACTGTACTCTCTTGATTACTACTCTCTTTTATATTTTGTTGAAAACTTTTAAGTTCTTTTTCAAAATTCTTTTGGTTATTTTCTTTTGCATAGTAGAATAGTGTTTTATAGTATTCTCCACAGTGAATGTGTCTTTATGGTTTTCATTGCTATTTCTTTTTCGATTATATTTTCTATTCTGTTTCTACTGGTATGTAGGAATGCTATGCTTTTCTATGTTAATTTTGTATCCAGCAACTCTTCCAAACTCCTGGTAGATCTAATTGTTTGACTAGCTTTTTGAATACTTTTTATTTTTTTGAGACAGAGCCTCAAGCTGTCACCCTGGGTAGAGTGATATGGCATCACAACTCACAGCAACCTCCAACTCCTGGGCTCAAGCGAGTCTTCTGCCTCAGCCTCCCAAGTAACTGGGGCCACAGGCGCCTGCCACAATGCCTGGCTATTTTTTGGTTGCAACCGTCATTGTTGTTTGGCGGGCCCAGGCTGGATTCGAACCCACCACCTTAGGTGTATGTGGCTGAAGCCTTAGCCACTTGAGCCACAGGCACTGAGCCTCTTTTTGAATACTTTTTCTAACTGGTTATATTACTCGACATAGTTTTTTGGGTTCCTTTCCAATTTTTTTCCTTGTTTTTTTCATGTTGATTAGGTCTGCTATGGTTGAATGTTTGTCTCCTTCAAAACTTATGTTGACACTTAAGCCCCAATGTGGCAGTATTGAAAGGTGAGGCCTTTAAAAAGGTGGTTGGGTCCTTATGACTGGGTTGGGTTAGAATGAGGAATGGTGGTTTTATAAGAAGAGAGACCTGAGCTAGCATGCTTAGCCCACTGGCATGTGATACCCTGTGTCACCTTGGGACTTTGAAAAGAGTCCTCACTAGCAAGAAGGCTCTTACCAGCTGCACTGCCTCAGTCTTGGACTTACCAGACTCTAGGGATTTAAGAAATAAATTTTCTTTCTTTTAAATTTTCCAGTTTCAGGTATTCTGTTATAAGGAACAGAGAATAGACTAAGACAGGGTCCTCTAGTACTGTGTTGAATAAAGGTGGTGATGGCATATATCCTTTTCTTATTCCTAACTTTAATAGAAATAATTTAATGTTAAGTATGATGCTTGTTGTAGATTTCTTAAGATTTAAGAATTTCTTATTCTTAGTTTGCTAAGTATTTCTATATGAATGAATCTATGTTGGGGGGCATGGCATCCTGGAATTAATCCCCCCAGGATACTGAGGGACAACTGTACCTTTAATACCTGCTGAGTGCTGTGGCTCATTCCTGTAATCCTAGCACTCTGGGAGGCCAAGGTGGGAGGATCACTTGAACAGGAGTTTGACACCAGCCTGAGCAAGAGTGAGACCCCACCTTTACTAAAAATAGAAAAATGAGCTGAGTGTTAAGGCAGATACCTGTAGTCCCAGCTGCTTGGGAGGCTGAGGTAGGAGAATTGCTTGAGCCCAGGAGTTTGAGGTTGCTGTGAGTTAGGCTGATACCATGGCACTCTAGCTTGGGGTAACAGAGTAAGACTCTGTCTCAAAAAACAAAAAGAAAACAAAACAAAAAAAACAACAAATCTTTAACACCTTTAGATAATAGAAAATTATTTCTCATGGTATAAGCTGGAAGCCCAAGATTAAAGCACCAGCAGGTCGGTGCCTGGTGAGGGTTTATTTTGTCTGCTTCAAAGATGGTACCTCTTTCTCTGTTCTCTCAAGCCCTTTTATAAGGGTGCTAATCCTGTTGATTAGGATAGTGCCCTCAAGAGCTAATCACCTCCTAAGTTTGTCACTTTCTAATATTATCACACTTACAATTTTAGTTTCAACATATTAATACCCTACCCCTAACCCTAACATAGCACTTGTAAAGTGAATTGAGCTTTTTGGTGGGGAAGAGGGGGAACAAAGTCTTGCTCTGTTGCCCTGACTAGGGTGCAGGGCATCATCATAGTTTACTACAACCTCAAACTCCTGCCTCTGACAATCCTCCTGCCTCATTTTCCTGTTTTTAAGTAGAGACAGGGTCTCACTCTTGCCCAACTCCTGAGCTGGAGAGATCCTACTGCCTCAGCATCCCAGAGTGCTAGGATTACAGGTATAAGCTACTGCACCCAGCCACATTGAGCTTTAAGTTTTAATTTGTTTACATTTAATTTAAGAATAGTGCTTGGTTCTATTTCATATCTGCTATGCTTTTTCCAGGATCCATTTTCCTGCAGATACATTTAAATTTCGTTTCTTTAAAGAAAATAAGCATTTTTGTTGTGGAGTTTGTGATTGACAGATATAAAGTCTTGGATTTCTGTGCTGTCTTTTGTTTCTACTCGTTGTGGCTTTTGTTTTTTATTTTTTGTCTATAATGGAGCCCCAGAGGACAGCTTCTGCCACTTAAGAGTACTTGTGTTTGCTTCAGCCAAGGAAAAAGAAAGTTGAATTAATTCTTTCTGCCTTCACTTTATCTTGGTAATTCCTAATGATATTTTTTAGCCAGTTTATGATATTCTTAAAAAAATTTTTAAGGATATTTTTTCTAGCTATTTTAATTTTATCAGAGGGTGAATTAGTGTGAATAATCTATTGCATAAATAAAAAATGTTATTAAGCTTTACTAGGATTTAATTTAATTCAGCTTTGCATTTGTTTTTTTAGATTCGCTCAGCTTATTTTGAGTTAGTTTCTGCTTTGTGCCAGCGCATTCCACAGTTAATGAAAGAGGAAGCCTCCAAAGTGAGTCCCTCCGTCCTACTCAGCATTGATGACAGTGACCCAGTTGTCTGCCCAGCTCTCTGGGAAGCTGTACTTTATACACTTACAACTATTGAGGTATGTAAGAGAGATTCATTTAGTACATTGGAGAACCCTTAGATATCATATGAGAAAGAGCCTATGGGATAAAAATATCTAAATCTCACTGGGAAAATGTCTTCTTGGAAGTAAAATCCTTAATCTGAACTTGGCATAAGTCAAACTGTAAAATGGTGCAGAATTTTTCTTTGTATTTGTTTACCTAGTATTAATTATTCTTTTAATTATGTGGCCCAGTGCAGTCAGCATATCTGAACTTGTATTTAATATGAAATATAGTTATCCCTTTTGGAAAGCAGCTCTATTAAAATCTTTTAGGTTAAATGATTATTTCTAATCCTAAACATACAGAATACGTGATTATTGTATGTAAGAACATGGATAATTTCAAGAGTTATAGTTTTTAATGGTGGTAAGACATTTTAGCCTCTTTAGGTAAAATACTTGATTTTAAAACATTTTTGAGAGCCTAAATATGTCTTCTCTTTTCATTGGGAAAAGTATGTTTATGATCTCTAAGTACTGATACAATCTTTTTTTTTTTTTTTTTTTTTGGGTAGGACTGTTGGCTTCATGTAAATGCAAAAAAAAGTGTTTTTCCCAAGCTGTCCGCTGTGGTTCGTGAAGGTGGTCGGGGTCTAGCTACTGTTATATATCCTTATCTTCTGCCATTCATCAGCAAACTCCCTCAGTCCATTACAGATCCAAAGTTGGATTTCTTCAAAAATTTCCTCACCTCTCTGGTTGCAGGGTAATTCAAACTTTTTATTTTTAAAGCAAAAGAGATTAATTTTCTTATTTTCAGACTAATCATTTTCTTTCTTAAATTTCTCCAAATTGTTTTGCTGTTCTTTCAGTTTTCAGTGAATTATAATTCGTGTTCTTTTCTTGAGTACTTTAAGGAGTTTCAGTGGTAGTATACAACAGAGTTAGGTAAAAAAAGTGAGACTCTTACTTGGAAATTGGCCGTTTTCCCAAAGAGCTTTTTTTTTTTTCTTTCAATGTTTATAAATACAAATGCCCCAAAGTAGAACATTAACAAACAAAGTTTTAAAAACTTTTATAAAGTATTATAGGTGAATATAATATAGGTGAATATTTTTTAACACTTAAAAAACTGTTTCGGTGAATTTATTGAACTTAAAAGATAAATAGTTTTACTAATGATTAAAACATTTTTTTCACTATACCATTATATTTGGTTATGTCCCATCTTTTATATTTGCAGGTGGATCTTTTTCTCTGAATATAAACAAATATCTCTTATTTTTTCCTGATCCTTTTTTTTTTTTTTAATTACAGATGAGATTTTATCATGTGGCCCTGGCTGGGTCAATCTCTGGGTTCAAGTTATCTGCTCCTACCTTGACCTCCCAAAGTGCTAGCATTGCAGGCTTGAGCCACTATTCCCAGCTACTGATAACATTTTTTTTTTTGATAACATTTTTGAAAATAATTTCTGTCCGTAGTTTTTTAAGTTCATGTTCTCAAGGGGCTATACGTATTTTTGGTTGGTTGTTCTTAGTTTTTAATTTAAGCATTTATTTATTAAAGATCCTCTTTTGGTATGATGCCTTTTCGATGTCTTCATTTTGGTGATTCTGAGTTTTTATATTGTTCTTCATAAAAGTATAATCTACAATTATTTATTATTTCTTAGGCTGTCAACAGAGAGAACGAAAACCAGCTTTTCAGAGAGCTCAGCAGTAATATCTGCTTTCTTTGAATGTTTGCGTTTTATAATGCAGCAAAACTTAGGTGAGGAAGAGATTGAAAAGATGCTCATCAATGATCAGGTATCTGTCATGTAAAAATCATCAGTGTCTTCACATACTGACTGTGAAAGAATCAAGCTCATTTTTATTTTTTTTGAGACAGAGCCTCAAGCTGTCCCCCTGGGTAGAGTGCCGTGGCATTACAGCTCACAGCAGCCTCCAACTCCTGGGCTCAAGCGAGTCTCCTG